GTGTGTGTGTGTGTGTGTATAATTATTTTTAATCTTCTGTATATTAATCCAGTTGGGTAAGCATGTTCATATGTCCTAGTATAGAAATGTCATTGCTTGGTTTCGGGGTCCATCATAACATGGTGTAAACACTGGCTTGCCCTTTTCAAATTCCATCTGAGTTGTGAAGCCAGCTGACCTCTGCTGTTGGAAAGGGCGGTGGCCCGGTGCTAATAGCTCTTGAGGTATCTGCACTTTTCACTGGGACATTGGTGTTGCGTCAGCCCCAGGGGATCAGAGGGTGGGGCCCATGGATCAGATGGAGGGCATGTGACCAGGGTGTGACCTTGTCACCCTAGGGTTGGGCTGCTGGGCATTCCCTGGGGAAATATGAGCCGCCTTGCCCAATGGGGGAGGCTCCAGGAACCAGAGTGAAGCTCCGGTGTGTATTGAAGGGTCTTGCTGGTAACCCCTGGGGTGGGGGAGGGGAGCCGTCCCTGTGCACTTTTTAATGCCACTAGATGCCTGAACCATATGTTTCTCCTCCTCCCTCCGAAACCTAAATATGCCCCAAAGCTACTGAGCTATAATTAGGGAGCAGTAGTTGTTTTGGGACATTGACAAAATTGACTTCAGTACATTTCCCATAACAGATCTTCCCCCAAAGCTTCTTTTTCTTCCTTAAAGTGTAGTTTTAATTATTTTGTTATTAACTGGGGTATTATGTCAACCATTTAACCAAAGGCTAAGCCTGTGTTTTTCCCACGATGCCTCCCCCCTGTAGAACGTTTCTTTTGTTCCATCTGGATTTTAATTGGTCCTTCAGGTATGGTTGACAAAACAAAACCCACATCCACCTGTTCAGAGGATTCTACCCAGCTTGTCATCTGTTGTTCACCTTTGTTTGGCTTCTGAAGATTCTGGAAGAAGTTCTTTTCAGGTAGCCTGAAGCCCTGTGGCTTTATTTGGGACGAGATGAAGAATCAAGAGGGTTTTGTGGTCATTGGTGGGCCAGCGTTCTCAAGGCACTATGCAAACGCACTAACCCTGTGGTAACAAGTGCTTGGTGTTGCCTTAACCTGGATGGTGCCTCCCTGCTGGGTCATTCAGAAGTTGGTAAATGGCCCTGTTGCCACATCAGGAGAGCCTTGTAGGCTGTGGTAGAGGAGACCCAAGGAGTTATGTCATTCCTTTAGGGATCCCAGGCTTGGAAAGTTGGGAGACCTCGTGCACCAATGCTACTGGGGCTGCAGGAGCTTCTTCTACTTGCCTTGGGTCACGGGGCAACCTCTCAGACTTTAAATCTCCCCCTGACCCCCACTTGCAGGTTTAACAATGGAACGTATTCTGAAGACTCCTGGGGTTCACTCGGAGAACTTCGGCAATACTTGCTTAACTACGATAATATTAATTTATTATCATATCGTAAAACTTAGTTTCTCTATTGACATAGTGTTTAAGTAGATTTCCTTAAAAGAATTGAAGGCTCTCCTCACGTTTAACTGGTTTTAGGGGAATTTTCATTTTGAAAGACACCGTTGAAGACATCGTTTACTTTGTGTAAATTCCTTCGTCTGCCTAATCTTTACAAAGACTAGGAACCAGAATAAAGAAACTGAGGGGGTCTTAAAAACTTACCTGAGATGTTAAGCATGTAAATTAGTGACGACTGAGTTTCTGTGCACTGCAGTGCTTTGGTCCTGGCAGGCAGGGCTGCTAACGGTAGACCTAGACCATGATTGATGAGGGCTAACCTTTTGTTTTTCACGACCTCACTTTGGGTGTTTTGCATTTGTTTGTAAAATGAAGTCTTCCTTTTTGTTCTCCCTTTTCTTAACTCTCATGCTTCTTTTTGAAGCCCACAAGTGGACAAATCTTCCATACCTGTATCTTCTTTCTAGTAATCAAGAATCTCTAAGTAGCTTTCTTATGCAAGCATCTTTCCCCTTCGGAAGTAAGTTGAATTCCCTGACACCAAATCTTTCAGCCCTAGCTCACACCCCTCATTTCAAGCTAACAAAACTTTAGGTAGACCTTTCTGTGGTTTGCCCTGTGATTTTAGTATCTCTCTTTTGGGAGAGAAGGTAGTGTTTTTTTTCTTGTCAGGTTTGACAGCGGTACACCCTTCCTACTTGTGAAAAGACCTGAACTGCCTTTTGACCGTTCCTGAGTTCCCCCCGAGGTTTACCTCCAGCCTCAGCAGGAGGGATGCTCCTGTGTGACTGGCGCCCGCATCCAGGGGGGCCTCTCGCCGGAGGAGGGCACGAGTGGCGCTTAGAGGCCTGCCGTTGGGCACCAGATGTTCTCCTGCGTGTTCTCACCTGACCCTCACGGCCGCTTTGGAACGCAAAGCAACATCATCTGCATTGTACAAACATGGAGGTTCTAGAACTCTCCTGCCACCCACAAATACGGTGTGGAGGTTAACAGGTTCAGCCAAAGTGAGACCGTGTAATACATCCCCCTCTGCTTTTTCTTCCCTATGTGGACCTTTATCTATTTGTGGTTGAACATTGACCAGATAGTGTCAATGGATGACAGTAGTGATAACTTCAGTGGCAAAAAGTTCGTGATTTGTGAGTGGAGACTGGTGTAAAGTAAAGACAGAGGTGGGCTTCCGTTGGGGGGCCCCGCCGAGGGCTCCCAGGGCCAGTGCGGATAGCAGGGTGCCGGCATTCTCGGCGTGGACACCAGCCAGGGACGCTGCTCACAGCTCGGCTCTGAGGAGGGCCTGTCCCTGTCCTTAGGAAGAGGGTCATGTTAATTAAGTCCTGGTAAATAGCTCGCTCCTTCAGAGGACCAAGGAGGAAAATGTCACATACACTGACACATTCTTGCTTTCTTTTTAAGCAAGAATGTCATACATTCTGGCTTAAAAAGAAATATTGGACGGAGGGGGGGGAGGGATCGATTGAGGGGAGGGGTTTGACACTACGTGAATTAGTCCGTGGTCACTGCTCTAAAGTCCAGACCAGACTCGCCCGGTGTCCTCACGACTCTGGATGCTGTCAGCATGTTCAGTCTGAGACAGGGGTGGGTGCCGCAGCTGGAGGGGACCCCGTGGAAGGGCCAGCCACAGAGAGACCCCACCCCCCCCAAAGCCACACAAGTCAGTTGCCTTTTTTTTTTTTAAAGGACGCAGACAATTTGTGTAAGCTGATGCCTGATCTTTCCTTTGATTGCATAATCGAGATTCTACTTATCAATTTTTCAGGAAGCCATCTAATTATACAAATTAAAATTCAAAGGAAAGCAAAAAGAATGATTATGCCTCCTCACTCGGGGAATTGGAGGAGGAGGGTGTGAAGCCCGTCTTGCCTCGGATGATAATGCTGTCATTTCTCATCTCCAAGGCACTTCACAAATATTAACTAATTAATTCTCTCACCCTGGATGTGGCGGCTAACACAGGGTGTGTCTCCACACCAGAGCCAAGGAGGGGCCGTCCGCTGATCAGAGCCTGGACCCGAGCAAATCAAATTTGCCAGCCAGCCTCTGAGGGTCTCTCTTGGACAGAAACCCTTGGATCAGAGGTCCTGCTCCTCTGCCTGTCTGTCTCAAGTTGACCAGTAAGAAATCACCTTCCCCCCTTTGCATGATTACCTTTCATACAGCCCAGCAAAAGTGAAACCAGAATTTTAGAAAGCTGCCTGCCCCGTCAACCCGGTGCTGCTCTGGCTTGCTTCAGGACGGCTTCATCTCCTCGCTTGTCCAATAGGGTCATTCCAGGGGTGGGGAACGTCCCAGGTTTGGAAAGGGTTTGGTGTCTCTTGGATGTCGCATTAATTATTTCTGTGAGTAGAAATTGTGCTTTTTCTTTTTCCCTAGCTCTTTTTTAAAAAATCACATAATTATTGCCATAAATCTTTTCAGCCTCATTGCTGAGAAATTAGTCTTTAACTTCCGGGAAGTCGCCTACCTTTTCATAGTCAGACCTGCATTCCGGCCTTTGAGAAAGTAACTCCCAGCGTTTTGCGTAACTGATGATCATACGTAATAATCCTCATTATTAACCCTGGAGCCTCACGCTTGTCTCCTAACCTCCTCCTCATTTGCTGGGTAACTGAGGACAACTGTGTGTGTGTGTGTGTGTGTGTGTGTGTGTGTGTGCGCGTGCGTGTGCGCGAGTGCGCTAGTAGTTGTTGTTAGAATAACTGCAGTAATGAGTCAAAAGCTGTGGGACTTTGGGGGGTTACAGGTGATAATTTGTGGCCTCAACTGGTACATTGGCTGAGCAGGAAATGAAGGTCAGGGTCTCCCAAACACACAGCCCCGACTTTATCTGCGAATTGGGCTCCCCATTCCTCAGGCGGTGTGGCATGTGGATTTCCCTCTAGAGAGGCCCAAATACCCCAGCCCCAATGGGAGACCCTTCCTCCTCTGCCTGAGACGCCACGGGTGTGGGGCAGCCGATGCCAGCTGTGGCACTGGCCTGGGTTAGGTGGTGCATGCCTTCCTGCCCCGTTCTCAGGCGGTGGGGCAAGGGGCTTGTGTGGTGCTGAGCGGTGGCCAAAGGACAGTTTTGAAAGGTTTTGTGAACCTCCTGGCAGAAGGCCTTGAGAGAGTAGTGGCAGCTGGGTGTCTGCATCTCGGTCCGGAGGCCCCTGGGATGTGTTCCTAGGTGGTGTGGGTTGATCTGTGACTCCGCCCCTCTGCGGTTCACAGAAGTACAGGACCAGCCCCACTGGCTATAGCTTGGTCTCTGGCATTCGAGTACAAAGTATTATGACTCAGGCTGGTCAGTAATTGGTGTTTACAGCCCCGAAGTCAAAAGCAAGAGATCCAGATGCTGCCATTTACCACTTTCAGGATCCAAAGACAGTTGTGCGTGTTCGTGTGCTTCCCTCAGAGGCGGGAGACTGTCCCATGGACTTGGAGCAAATCCAGCTCCAGCATTTGAGGAGGAGAGCAAGCGCCCGAGGGCAGGTCCCCTTGTAGCAAGCGGCAGCCACGCCCGAATGACCTGTCGTCCTTGCCCCCAGGGTGTCCAGCGAGTAAGGCTTCTTTTCTCCTTGTTTCAGGGCGCGTAGTGGCGTAATGCCCGCAGACTCCTGCGAGGGCCCCTAAGTTCTTAGAGGACCGCTTTGCCTTTTGAATCAGAGAGGTGCAAAGTTCGATAAAGAATGGCCCTTGTGGATAAGCACAAAGTCAAGCGACAGCGATTGGACAGAATTTGTGAAGGTAAGAGCCAGCGTGATTGGCGGTTTTTCACCAAAGTCGCGTAGACCCGCCCTGGAATCCTGCAGCTGGTCTCCTAGCCTGGCTGCGACCCATACCCCACCCCCAGCACCTCCCACCGTCCCACACGCTCTGCCCGTGTCCTTGGTGGTGTCCTTGGCGTGGTCAGTAGGCCTGACCTTCAAGTAGGCTGAGGCCCGCTTCCAGGGCAGGGGTGGGGCTAGGACAGAAGTTGGGGGAAGCAGGCCCTGAGGTCCATTTTGTCCCAAGATCAATTTGCACAAGAAAGACACTGCATATTAGGACCATCTTTTTTTTTTTTTTTTTTAAACTTGCGGAAGTTTCTGGACTTTATCTGTTTTGAATTAAAAGATTTACCAGCACAAATTCTGAGATATTCCTCAGGAGCCCAGCATAGCCCCTCATGATCTGTTCACGTCCCTGGTATCTTTGAAAAATGTCTGGAAGTTTTTTATTCATGAAAGGAAAAATAAACAGGATTAAAATCTAGTGGAAACCCGGGGACAAAACTCTGAGATGTGGATTGAGCACCGTCCTCTCCTCCTTAGGGAGTGGTTAGAAATCCAGCGCCAGTGGACCTGGGCTTGGCGTGAAGTGCTCCTAGCCGGCTGGTGTCCGTGCTGTCGGCTGGGTTTGGCTTGGCGTGGTTACCCGTGACCTCACTGCAGGGTTTCTCTCAGGAGGGGAGCCGCTGGGCGGGGTGGGCTCAGCAGCCCGCCCCCGACCCCCGAATATGCTAGCACACCAGTTGGCCAGTTCACTCAGGCCCAGGAAAGCATCTCCCAGGAGCCGTCCATATGGAATTGTTTGTAGATGTGGCTCAGGCTAGCGGTGTGGAGGCATTAAAGGCGTGTTCTACTGTGTGACTGTCTGCCCTGCAACAGCTCCGACCTAAAAGAATTTAGGAGCACTGACTGTCCCTCCACATCCCTGGGATTCTGCTGCAGTGTAAGGGGTTTGGGATTCAAGGATTTTTTTTTTTTTTTTTAAATATTAAAAAATTTTTCAAACCTACAGAAAGCCTGATAGAATAGTACAACGGACACTGGTATTCCCATCAGCTGTATTTACCAGTTGATAACATTTGTTATCACTTGCTTTCTCCTTATAGAGATACGTGTGTATGAATGGATGGAGGATGGATGGATGGACTTGCCCAGAACCATCTGAGAGAAATGTGTAGTGCAGCAGTTTATCCCTAAGTACCTATGGCATGTATTAGAGGCTCCTTTCCTGCATAAACACACCACCGTCATCACCCCCAGGAAACTGGGCCTCATTACAGCATATTATCTAACATAGACGGCACATGCACATCTCCCCCACACGTCTGTTTTAGCCGGTTTGTTTGCCTGTGTGCAGAAACCTATCAAGGGACATAGGTGGCATTTAGTTGTCATGTCTCTTTGGTCTCCTTAGTCTAAAATAATTCCCTGGTCCTTTTGACTTTCAGAAGCATTGACATCATTGAAGAGCCCAAGCCAGTAGGTTTGTACAATGTCCCACAATCTGGGTTCACCTGATTGTTTGGGGGTTTTTAAATTGTACTTCTGCCCTCCTGTGTAAAGGTGCTTCATTTTTGGTACTGAGTCCCCAGTCCAGAAAGCCCTAGTGGATCAACTTTCCAAGGTTAGTATCAGGAATGTCTATGGGGCCGATTCCACCCCCCACCCCCAACCCCAACCCCAGTATTTATCTAGAGGTAGCACATCTGAGACAAGAATGGGATGGAAGCACCAGGGGCCTTTGCTCTCCTTGTCCAGGGTGGTTGGTGACAGCAACACCATTGGCGGTTCTTTCGCACCCTCTCTCCCAGGCCTGGTTCACCAGTCCCCAGCGTATTTTTTATAACAAATTCCAGCATCTCCTTTATCCATGAACGGTGTCCTGAGACAGTTGCAGTGGTTTGTTTTATCTTTAATTTCTCAATAGCCACTATCAAGATACATGCATGACATAGAGTTACTCAAGTGTAATTTACAATCCATGATCCCGAACAGTCACTTGGTGTCCCATGAAGTTTAACAGCTGCTCCAAGATGCTTCATTGGTGCTCCTTGTATTTATAAGCTGGTTTAGTGCCGTTAATGGTCAGGACAGGTGGTCAGGACATCCGTTTCCCAGGTGCTACCAGCGAGGTACAGAGCAGTCGGTGATTTGCGCCCAGGCAGTCTGCTATTCTGTATTTGGGCTTTTGCCCTTGAATCGGCACGTGGATTCCGTTATTTCTTCCTCCTGAAAGCCTCACGCACCTCCGTCCCTGGCTTTGGATGCCCAGCAGTCTCTGTTCTGTAAACCTGAACTAACTGTTCTTGAATGTTCTCCTTGGAAGTCCAGCAGGCTCAGCAAACAGTTCTCTCCTTCCCGCCGCCCACACCCCAGGGACTTCCTGTATGTCTCTCTCTCTCTCTCCCTCTCTCCCTGCCCCCCCCACCCCGCTCTCTCTCTGTTTTTGTTTTATGATTAAAGCCATGAAGCTGCCCTGCTCCGCTCCAGGCTTGTAGGAGATTTTTCTTCATGCTCTTGGATCTGTGGGAACACATATTCCTTCAAATTCTTCCCTCTCGCCTGCTGCCAACCCCAGTGCAAATCCCTGGCTTTGGGTCCCAAGCCAGACAAGGCTTCTGATGACCTCCAGGGTCTACCCCCCCAACCCCCACCCCTCGAATGAACCTTTTTTCTCCAGCTGAGCCAGTCTGGTGGGATCTGAGCATCACCCCTGTGCCAGTACTGCTTCCAGAATCCCTACCTGCCTCCCGAGGCCCAGTCCCTTCCTCCCTGAAACCTTCCACAGCAGCCCTTGGGGTCTCTTCCTTCTGAACCGCAGTCCCCTTGTGACCCGGTCCATCAATCTTCATGTGCCCAGAATCTATCTGCACCTTTGCGCCTCTAAGGGGATGTTTCTGCTCGAGATTAAGCAAAGTATAGAGGATAGCTTCGCTTCTCGCCACCCAAAGTCTTCGGGACTCCATCCAACTCCGTTAGAATAATGGTCTTTCAAGCTGACTTAAAAGCCAGATTTTTTTCTTAAAGCAATCCTTCTGTTTTGATATTTGTAATTTGTTCTCTGATCTTTCCTGATGCCTAATATCAAATAATCCTAGAGTGCTGTTGTGTGAAGGTTTTGTGGAGCAGAGTCTGCGGATAGACTGGTCAGACCAAATTGCAGTCTCTTCTTTTTGTTGTATAATGTAGGTCTTGTTTTTCCCCTGTGTTTAGTTTGCTGGCATAATTGAAATATTGCATTTATGAAATGCACCAGACAGAGAGTTTTAATACGTAACTGCATCATGGCAGAGCTGGTTTGATTTGCCCCAAGTATTTGTTGGCCAGAGAAGAGGGCTTGCTATCCCTCATCACTGTGAAAGTAACCCAGAAAAGCATTTTCTGGAGCCTAGGTTTGTAGAACTGTAATATACCACAATGGGCTTGCTGATGACCTTTTGTTACAACACCTTATTGTGTGTTATGGTACAATAAATCACTAAACACCGTTCTTTCCTGTTGCTTTTGAAAATGTAATTTGGAAAAAAAGTAGATATTTCATCTTCATTTTGCTTGAATGTCTTATATGTGTGGAAAAATGGTCCTGAGGATTATATCAGCTGAGCTGTAGTCAGTCCCCTTCATCACATAATTCAGGAGAGGACTTCTTTCCTCTGCAGGAAAAAAAGAAATGGTATGAACCTCCTTTTAAATAAACAGTCGAATTCAACATTCCTTACCTTTGGGATGTTCTTATGAGAACAGAGAATAAAAGGCGGTGAGGAAGATGGGCGGGTTGGTTGGATGGATGTGGGAGAAATAGAGGCCAACCTCTATTGTCTGTTAAATTGTCTAATAAACCGGTGTCTATTAAACACGTAGTTATAAATCCTGGGAATCTTTGTCCCCAAGAGGACGAGAAAAGTCAGAAAATGCTGCAGGGATGAGGTGGAAGAAAACTTTTTTCCCAGTGTCACTGTGCTCTTCTTAGTGGGATGAGCTCGTCATTGTGAAAGTACATCTCAGTGGACCGTTCCCCCAAGAAAGTTCATTCATGGTCCCAGAATATTCAAGAAGCAAAGATGTTGTCTAAGAGCTTCTAGGTCGTCGAGGTGGTGGAAGTGGTGAGGGTGTCCAGGCCAGCTGTGTGCTCCCTGCAGGGAGGACTGGGGTGAGGGGCGGATCTCATTGCCTGGCTCACACGCATCAGAGCCCACAGGGCAGGACTGACCTGTATTTCCCCACGGGAAGAGCATAATCTGTAGACTCAGGCCAGGATCATTTTGTCTTTTATTTCTGTGCTTTTTGTTTCACCCGTCTTAAAAGAAAATGCATTATAGAATCACTACTTGTTTTGTTTTTTAAAGCACTCGGAGCACCTTACCATGAAACGGCGTCGAGACCATCTATAGGCAGTCCACAATTATTTCTAATAAATGTCTTTAAATAGCCCCAAAATGTAGATCTTAAAAATGGGATTCATGATGTTGCTATACATTATAATTATATGTTTGGATGAGGCAATTATGTACATTTCCAGTAATTACGTGATTAGTGATAATTACATTAGCTATGTAAATATATAATAGTCAACCAGACATGACTTAAAACTCTGTAGTATAAACGAATATAATGAAGCCACGTCGTGCTCAGGTAAAGGATCAGAAAAGGCGGGGGACAGTCACGTTGAAACTTCGTGGACATTGTTTGTGAGGGAGAAATATCAGGCCCTGGTTTTAAGATAAATCTGGAGAGCGGCGCCTCCCCGGGGTTCCCGCTGTCACCTAAGGACTGGGCCCCTCGAGCACCCACACCCGGCCCTCAGCTTTCTGCAGATGAGAGTCAGGTTCCAGGTTGTATTATTTCTCCATTGTTCCTCATCTGTGAAATGCAGATTTAAGCTACTCTTTGCACTTGTTGACTTGCCGATGGGCTCTCACCTCGGTTGGTGGATTTTTTTAAACTCCCCACATTTTTAAAAGCAGCCTGTTAAGGCAG